GCGTACGAGCGGAAACTTTCCTCGACGCGACGTTTTCTCTTCTGTCGCGAACCAAGCCGGTATACAGATTACGATTTGTCGTTAGCCTCGCGATAAACTTTATACGGCCGCTGATATCGGTCGATTCGATACGCATAAACCATCCGTGGCGTACGACGTCGATCACTGATACACCCGGAACGATCGTTGCTGCGTTTTCCATTCGATTTTCCTCTTGCCTAATCTGGACCGCGCTTTCAACGGAGGTTTCCATCTTAAGCCGCATCCAACCCTTCATTTAATTCGATTGTCGATCGAATTAAAATTTAAAAATTAACGCGAAGAATTCGAAAAAATTAGCCAATAACGATTAAAATTAAATATAATTCTTATCCTATTTATTGAAATTAGAAAGTATTTGTATATTCGTGAAGGATCAAACTTTGGAAATCTATGTTACATTTGGGAAAAAAAATACAAGTCTCTCTCTCTCTCTCTTTCTCTTTCGTAACGTTGTAATGAAACGATTTTAATGTATACGATAAAATACGATAATATATTCCAAACATAACCGATAGAGCGCGTAATTATCGCAAAAACAAGGAAATCCAGGCTTAAATCCGTAAACGGGGGAAGGGAAACAGGGATAGCCCGTTGGAAGATATTTGCTTTCTCACAAACCATATGGAAAGCTCAGCGGCGCGTTATCGCTGCTTTACAGGAGGAGATATCGCCTTGTTTCGCATTGTTATTCAGCATTACGTAATAATAACATACTTAGAGATATCGGCGGTTTCCGCGTATCTACGCCGGTTGCGCGCTTCACAATATGTCCGATCTCGTAGATAGGAGGAAGCGGGGCCGGGTTGAAATGCAAGCGCAGTTCGCTCTTCTCTAAGTGGCGGGTCCGTTGTCGCTCCCATTGTACCGTGCCTCGATTGTTTCTATTCATGTTCCCGTTAACGGTGCGTATCCTGGTCTCCCGCTCCTCCACGCCGTGTTTTCCTAATTGCACCGCGGTCGCCCCGTGCGATCGACGCGGCGATTTTCGATGCGAATGAATCTTTCATCGTGATCGCGAGGGATCCACAATGTGACCGGTACACGAATTAATTATCGAACAAACGGCGAGAAATCGAAATACCAACGAACCAATATCGATTCCGTATGTAATATTCCAAGAATCGGTTTCTCGGTGTGAAGAAACGACCGATTATACAACCAACGGTGCTCCCATTAAACGAGATCACCGGACCTGGTCACGATCGTCCACGGAAAATTAAATAAAACTTCGAGAAACCGAACGTCCTCGTGACCAATAGATCTGATTAACGTGTCGAGGCTAGAGAAATGGATATGAAATCATATTCCATTGCTGTCTCCCGCGCGTGGTGAGATAGAGGGTCCAGGGGCTCGAGCCACGATCGAGAGTAAGAGAGAGACAGAGAGAGAGAGAGAGAGATTGGACGAGAGAGAACTGTATTACCATCGATAGAGGATATATCGAGGACGGCGTGGCCACGTCAATCGATAGCGACCGTTCGATATCTCGAACCGAGCGAGCACCCGAGGGCGAGACCCCACCTCCTCCGCCGCGTACTTCCATCCGCGCATAATCATCGGCAATAAATCTCGGGTTGCATAAGTGTAACGAGAGATACGGGATCGCAACGCACACAGCCTGAAGCGTTACTGTTCCAGGGCCCTCTCT